TATATATTTAATAATGAGCTATAAGTCTGTCTTTGTTTAGGAGCATTAATCAAAGTACTTCATTATAAAAGCACAGATCTTTTGTGTGACAGCCAGGGTTCTGTATTATAACACAATCTCTGCCATTTCTAACTAAGCAAACCGTGCGAACATCTGTCTTCCTCAGTCCATGACTCAGTACAAACTGGGACACGAGAGGGATCCATCTTAGATGGCGGCTGCGCCTCCAATGGGCCGTCAGTCTTCGAGTTCCAGTCATCCCAAGTACATCACAAAATCATTGCCTTTAGAAATTATAGTGGCCCATTATTACTTTGTTGTTTGTTTAGTTTAAGAAGAATTCAATCTTCAAGACGGTAATATTTTCTGCTGTTAACAAAATATGTCGTCCTAAGCAGCTAACCACTCACTATATATATATATATATATATATATATATATATATATATATATATATAATAATAATAATAATTATTATTATTATTATTATTATTATTGTTATTTTTTTTTTAATTTATTTATTTTTTTAATTTATTTTTTTTAAACCATTGCCTATGCAACTAATTCAGTTGGTATAATTTAGTTTGACAGATCTAAAAAGAGAAATAAAAAGTAAAAAAAAAACCCCACCAAAGTTTGAATTACTCCACGTTTTGACGGCCATAAAAATGGCACACACTCATGCATGGTGCAGCGTGTTTGGCTGTTGGACAGCCCTCTAAAACGGTGACCTCACAGTTAGCAGTCAGGGACATGGACATGTCTCAATCCTTTTAGTGCCATTTCTTGTGTTGACCACTGTCCACTGCAGAGTAGCACAGGTAAGTTCAACCTGAACACTGGATTAATATGTTAGGCCTTTTAAAAATATAAATATTAGGAGTTAACTGGAGGGGCTATTTAAGAATGCAATATATAGTGAGTTTTCCTCACATGAATGAAAAAGTTAAAACTGTTACAAAAAAGATCAAGGTGTTTCAGCACAGGAGTTATTGGGATCTTGTACCTTTGGAGATGTGTTTCTTTAAAGAAATTAGATTTATTTTAATGTAATATTTTAATTTAATAAAGATTAAAAATCATATAAAATGTGTTGACTAACAATCCTAACAAAATGAGTACCATCAGTGTTTTATTTTGTCACTTTCATTATTTGCTAAAAAAAAAAAAAAAAAGAAAATTAAAGCCTTGAGATTGATCACTAATCCATAATAATCCATAATTTATGAAGTCATGCTGTTACGGTTAAGCTCCTGTTTACTTCTGTCCATCTTTAGGACGAGTGTACGGAACGTAATTTTGCTGTACTTAACTGTGCAATGACAATAAAGCTTATTCGATTCTGATTTGTTGTAAAAGTTGCCCTGTCTACACTCTATCTTTTCAATACTTTGTTTTTCTTTTCTGTTCTACTTCTGATCTCCTTGCTCCTTTTCTTATTAATCCACAAAACAAATAGGACGCAAAGTACAAAAATGTTCTGACTTGTTGGTCAGATGTTGATTTTACAAACATCTTTAATAAATCACTTGATATAAACTCATTCAACAGCCTAATTGAAAACAACAAATGATCTCTACACTTTGTTTTTGCACATCGTCTATTTTCAACGATATCATAGAGTTTGGACATTTTTTTCTATTGTGTGAATGCAGTTCCAGCATTGACACTATTGTTTTCTTGGTATTTTGCAATCTAACTACTTCTGCATACATTGTGCAATTTTAGCGATTTATATTTGAAAACGGTCAGCTCATTCAGGAGATGGGTCCTATGACTTTATTTTTTATTTTTATTTTTTTGTAACATACTTTTAAAAATGTTTAACTTGTTGAATTATTTGGAAATCTCTTAAATCATCTTTAAACTCTGTGTCAGCATAGTGACACGCAAACAGTTTCCAACAGAATGAGTTGAGTAAGCCAGAATGAATGCTGGGAGCCAGTATTACACATTAGTTACAAGAACTGGGACTTTCATTATTGGTCCATCAGCAGTTTCTGTTCCCCAACTGGAGAAAAAAAACAAAAAGAAAATCAACATAACATAACAAAATGGAGATGAATCACTGTGATGACTAGAACTGTTACAAAATCCGAGGTTTTGTTTAATTTTGTGGCAGGGATTATTCACACATGTACTTGAATTGTTTTTGGATTACATGTAAAACCATAAACAGTTCCAGTATTCTATACCATAAGGCCTTGTTAATCCTAACACCTTTCTCTAATAATCTGAATGTTTTAAGGCATTCACACATTGAGATCCATCCATCCATCGTTCTGAAGTTGGGTCGCGGGGGGCAGCATCTTGAGCAGGGAGGTCCAGACATCTTTTTCCACAGCCTCCTCTTCCTTCTTCTTTTTGGGAGAACTCCAAGGTGTTCCCAGACCAAACTAAAGATGTAGTTTCTCCAGCATGTCCTGGGTCTTCCCCGGGATCTCCTCCCAGTTGGCACCTCCCTAGGGAGGAGCCCAGGGGGCATCCTAACTAGATGCCCGAACCACCTCAACTGGCTCCTCTCGATGTGGAGGAGTAACGGTTCTACTCCGAGTCTCTCCCGGATAACTGAACTTCTCACCCTATCTCTAAGGGAGAGTCCAGCTACCCTGCAGAGGAAACTCATTTCAACCATCTGTATTTGTGATCTCTAGGTCTGTCACGATAAACAATAAATCAATTAATCGCATGATGAATGAAAATTATTGACCTCATTTTCATTTATCGGCTTTATCATTTCTTCGTGTCTCTCTCTTTCTACTGAAGACACGGCTCAACTCCGGTCCTCTTCACTGGCCCCTCCCTTTCACTTTTCTCTTTAAAATCTGTTTTAACCATCCAAAATCACGTTTTTGGATGGTTAAAAGCAGTTAAGCTGAGAAGTTAAGCTACATGCTAAGCTAACAGGCCGACCTCGGGAATAAACCTCTGTCTTGCCGAGCTCCAAAATTCACGGTTGAAACCCACGCCTTTGTGTAAAAGTTGTTTTTCTCTGCAAGAAGAAGCTGAAGACTTGTTTACAGATTTTTTATTAAAAGCTTTGTGTGAAAAATGCTATGCTAAAGAGCTCAAATCACCGAGCGTACGCCATGTCACCATGTCAGCCCATGTCACATCAAGGGCCCTCCCTCCCATTTTTCTTAAAGAGACACGCTGCTCAACTATCCATCCTTTGGTTCAAACTGTCTTATACTGCCATCAAGTGGTCAAAAAAGATAATACATGCAAAACAAATAAACATTTCTTCTAAATTTTGACAATTTATTATTATGAAATTTCAAACAATATTATCATTTATCGCAATAATTTCTGAGACAATTAATCGCCCATGAAAATTTGTTATTGTGACAGGCCTAGTGCTCATTTTTCCGGTCACTACCAAGAGTTCATGACCATAGGTGAGGGTAGGAACGTACACTGACCAGTAAACAGAGAGCTTTGCCTTACAGCTCAGCTTCCTCTTCACCACAACAGACAAGTACAGACTGAGTCCGCAATGCTGCACCAATCCGTCTTGTCAATCTCACGCTCCATTCTTCCCTCACTTGTAAACAAAACCCTGAGATACTTAAACTCCTCCACTCGAGGCAGAACCTCACCCTCGAGATACATTGAGATCCATTTTCTTATTTCATATATTAAAATGTTCAACTCATTCAGGACATTCCTGAATGACATTCGTTCAGTTCTGACTTTATGAAACGTTTATATTTTTCTAACGTTTCCCTTGTTGAAAATGAAGCGAGCTCTCTCCACACCCTTTGTGCCGTTTAAATTTTTTTTCTGCTCACGGAAGTTTTTGTTCTGGTTCTGCTTTTTTCAGCTTCATTCAGTTCATTTCAGATTCTGTGTTCTAATTAAATTTTTTATGCTTCTTTTAGTTTTTAAGCTCCTTTTACACTCTTTCTGCTTATTCCAGCTTCTTTCTAGTATGGAGCTTTAGAGCCACGCTAATTAAAAAACCAATTAAAAGTCATAAAATTACGAGAATAAAGTCGTACGAGACTTTATTATTTGTTTACAGCTTTCGTTTATTTATTTATTCCACGAGTTGGATCCACGACGCGACTTGTCAATCAATCCAGTAGGCGTGTCAGCAAATGACCAATCTAAGCGCTCCTGTAAGTGAGTCGCTATGTCTCTTCAGCCTCTTTCTGGCATATTTATTGAAGACCTGTAACAGCGCTGCATGCACACAGTTTCACTCACTCAGCGCCGTTTTCAAACAAAAACAAAAGTCATGACATAATGCTGTCACGTACATGCATCCCCAAAGCAGCATACAAAAACACAACAGTAGGTGGCAGTATTGGAACACGTTTTGAGTAAGAGCATCAATAGCAATAAAGTTTAAAATACATTCTTCATTTTACCACAGTTAAAATGCGGTAAATCCTGCTTTATCCTGTCGGAGTTCGGATAATATTATGACTCATTTAGCTTTGGATTGGTCGTTTGCTGACACGCCTACTGGATTGATTGACGGGTCGCGTTGTGGATCCGACTCATGGGAAAAAAATTATTAACGACAGCTATTAAAAAAAAGAAGGCTTGTACGACTTTATCCTCGTAATATTAAGACTTTATTTGACTTTATTCTCGTAATACTACGACTTTATTCTCGTAATTTTATGGCTTAAAAAAATAATTTTCTTAGTGTGGCAATGTAATTTTTTTTAGCGTGCCCCTAAAGCTCCGTCATATCTTTCAACTATTTTCAGCCTTTCTTTTTGTTTTTGTTTTGCATTCTCAGCTAGATTTCAGCAATCTTTTTGCTAATTTAATATTGTTTTATTTTGTGTTTTTAATGTTGTGAAGTGTCCTTGGGTGTCTTGAAAGGCACTACCAAATAAAATGCATAATTATTATTATTTCATCTTTTTGGTTACTTTACTGTCAGTATTAATGTGCTCTTTTCAGCTTCTTACTGCCTAATTTAATATTTTGTGCAAGCTAACATGGCTCTTACTGTAATGTTTTCCACAGGTCAAATCTCAGCCATGGGTGATGATGACTATCAGTATCAGCTCTTCCTGTATCTGCTCAATGAAACGGCTAACTCCACAGACCCAAGTTATGTGGTCAGTGAAACAGTTAAGCTCTGCACAAAAAAAACTGTCAATCAGTTTGGTGCAAAATTCATTCCAGTGTTCTACTACATCAATTTCCTCCTGAGCTTCTTGGGAAATGGACTCGTCCTCCTCATCATCTACAAGTACGAGAAGCTCACCACGGTGACAAACATCTTCCTGCTGAATTTGGTCCTCTCAAATCTTCTGTTTGCCTCAAGTCTGCCCTTCTTGGCCATCTATCATCTGTCTGAGTGGATTTTTGGCCCTGCTCTGTGTAAAATGGTCAGTAGTGCCTACTTTATTGGTTTCTACAGTTCCATCCTATTCCTCACGCTCATGACCTTCGACCGATACCTAGCAGTGGTGCATGCCGTGGCAGCTACGAAGAGCCGTAAAAAGGTGTACGCCATCATTTCTTCTGTGGTAGTTTGGTGCGTCAGTATTGTGGCGAGCGTGAAAGAGCTGTTTCTTCGAAATGTGTGGAAAAGCCCAGCAGATGGCATCTTGTGTGAAATGTCTGGATTATCAGCCAGTACCATGAAACTCTGGCGCCTGGTCAGTGATTATCAGCAGTTCTTGCTCTTCTTCCTCATCCCTTTGATCATTGTGACATACTGCTACATCAGCATCACGTTGCGCATCCTCTCCACCAGCATGAAAGGGAAATGCCGGGCCATTAAGCTTATTTTCATCATCATCTTCACCTTTTTTGTCTGTTGGACACCTTTCAATGTTGTCAGCCTCATTCGAGCAATTCTCATCTCTCAGACGAGCGTGGAAGAAGAATCCTGTTCTGACTCAGACAACTTAGATTATGCTTTTTACGTGAGCCGGAATATAGCTTACTTGTACTGCTGTATCAGTCCTGTGTTTTACACATTTCTCGGAAAGAAATTCCAAAGTCACTTCAAAAGGTTGATGGTGAAAAAGATTCCCTGTCTGCAAACACAAATTAGCTTCAGCAGCCACAGCACTAAAACCACATCACAGAGGACACCACACACTCAGTATTAAACACACATAAAACTCACTGACCTTTTGATTGTTGTAAAAAAAAAAAAACACTTTGATTTATTGCATTTTGAAATGGTTTGTCCTAATTATATTTAGTAGACATGATCTTAACATTTTCAATCACCCTAAAAATCATGTTTAAATGGTCAAACAACTAGTAAGATTGTTGCTTTGTTGTTTCACTTTACAACAATTTTAGTCAAACTCAGGACTTGTATTGGTGGTCACTGACCAGTCTGCCTCTTTTAAATCCCTCTTAGAATCAGGAAACTTCTGCTTCAGATCAGTTCAAGCCATCAACAATCAACCCATCAACAACAACTTTATTTATAAAGCACATTAACACCAGCCACAGCTGAAAAAAGTCCTGAACATCAGTAATAATAAGATAAAAGAAGCATAAAATACTTTGTAAAGTGACAAAGCTAAGCACACAATAATGAATTAAAAACTCATTTCCAAACACAATAAAACACAGAGTTAAACAGATAAAATCGATACCAATAAAAATGAAGTAAAATCAAGTCTCAGTTGGGTTGAAGGTCAGTGAGTAAAAACAAGTTTTCAGATGGGTTTTAAACGTGGACAGTGAAGGGGCCTGTCGAATGTGCAATGGCAGAGTGTTCCATAACTTCGGGGCACTAACAGAGAAGGCCCTGTCTCCTTTGAGCTTCCGCTTACACTTGGGAATGACCAGAAGCAGCTGGTCAGAGGACCTGAGTGATCGAGGGGGAGTGTAGTGGTGGAGAACCTCTGTTAAATAAGGCAGAGCAAGGCTGTTTAAAACCTTAAAAACAAACAAAATAATTTTAAAATGAACTCTAAAATATACGGGCAGCCAGTGGAGAGAAGCCATGACAGGAGTAATGTGCTCTGTTTTACGTGTTCTTGTTAAGACGTGCAGCAGCATTTTGTACCAGCTGCAGAGGTGTAAGTGAGGACTGGCTGACTCCTAGATAGGGAGAATTACAGTAAGCCCGCCATACTGAAATGAAAGCATGGATTACTGTTTCAGTTGCCTTGAAAAAATAGATTTTATCTTTGCTATTTTTCTTCAATGATAAAAACTAGACTTTATTGTGGCCCTTATTTGACTGTCGACTTTAAAATCACTGTCCATCTTAAAACCAATGTTTGTAACTGTGGACTTTACATACAATTGCCAGGGGTCTCAGGGTGCATATAATCAGTCCTGTTTAGTCCGCTTTAATCGAACTCCAGCTCGTTTTCCTAGAAAGTCCGGTTCGTTTAGGGAGGTGTGAACACGCCATCGAACTCTGTCACGGAACAAAAACGCGAACTCTGGCCCGGGCTAAAACCTAGGTCTCGGTCCGGTAGAAGCGAACTCCAGCGCGGTTCGAATGTAGTGTGAATGTAAACAGACCGGGCCGCTCCGCAGGGTAAACAAACACGAATTTCTCTGACCTTATATGGAGCCGTCAGCTGCCTTGTGTGAAAAACAATATTCTCCATGGTCTTCTGTCTCATCTTCTGCTCATGCTAAGTCCATTTTTGAAAAATGATAAAATATAACTCCTAAAACTGCTAAAACTTGATGCCACTTCGTTTTTATTTTTATTTACAGAAGAAGAAGAAGACGTGTCTTCAGAGGTTTTGTGTTGTTTCTTTCAGTAGTTCTTGGTGCAGCGCCCCCACAGGCGAGCGGGGGAGCAGGTTGGTTCAACAGGTTGGCTCGACTGCACAGTGCAGTGTGAATGCAAACTCACCAGCTCAAATGTAAACAAAAGCTCATGAATATTGGTCCTGAACCGAGTCTACCGGACTATCTGGTGTGAAAACGACCTAAGTCAACTGGAGGGTTCAGACATGCTCCATTAGGTCTAAAAACAAGTACCTCAGTCTTTTTTTCATTAAAATGCACAAAGTTTAGGGCCATCCAAGCGTTAAGATCCTTGAGACACGATAGACGTTTAATGGACCAAGCATCAATTCGCCTTAAAGGCACATAAATTTGGCAATCATCAGCGTAGAAATTAAAGGAGATGCCATGTTTTCTAAATATTGATCCTAGAGGAAGTAGATACAAAGAAAAAAGCAAAGGCCCTAAACTTGAGCCCTGAGGAACCCCACATGACAGAGGAGCACAAAAGGATTCACACCCCGCAATTTTTACAGATAATTTTAGTTTTATCCATTCAGATAGATAAAATCCTGATTTTCAGGTCATGAAACAATGACTGTAGATTAAATACTGATGTTATTAACATGATGGCTGTTTGTTTAAAAAACATTAAAAAAAAAAATTCTTGCCATTTATCAAGTAAAAGAACTTCATTTATTTTTTCCAATGAAAGTTTACCTGTGACATTACGCCGACTGTTTAATATAATTTTATATTTGTACTATTGTTCTTTGTATGCTTGTTTATGGAATTAGTACATTTCCCTTATTAACAAAACATCTGCTCCACCAGAGCAGCACGGTGGCGCAACTGGTAGAGCAGGTCCCTGGTTCAAATCCCGGTCCGGGGGCCTTTCTGGCTGGAGTTTGCATGTTCTCTCCGTGCATGCGTGGGTTTTCTCCGGGTACTCCGGTTTCCTCCCACAGACCAAAAATGTATGTTAGGCTGATTGGTAACTCTAAATTGTCCTTAGGTGAGAGAGCGAGAGAGAGAATGATTGTTTGTCTCGTTTGTCTCTATGTGTCCCTATGATGGACTGGAGACCTGTTCAGGGTGTACCCCGCCCCTTGCACAGTTTTTGCTGGACATGGGTACCAGCGACCCCCGTGACCCAAAATGGAAGAAGCAGGTAAAAGATAATGGATGGATGGATCTGCTCCACCAAACTTTTATTTAATAAAGAAAACTTTGCAAGTCTTAAAAAACTGCATAAAAATGAATGTTTAGATGCAGTAAAAGTATTGTAAAATAATATAAAGATCACATTATGAAAAGTAATTTGCATGTACAATAATTATAAATGCAAGGGCATTGTGAACATTGATTCATGCTACAGCTTAAACACGGGAAAGACTTTAATAGCTGGTTGGTTTGATGAACGAGAACATTTCTACAGAAAGGCTGAAGGGTGCTGATTCATCTGCTACTCATGAATCCAACATAACTTTATACAAATCTAAGCTCAATTAAAAACTGAAATTTTGATGTAAGAAGTGTAGAATTGTGAAAAGAACAAAAAGCTAAAGAAATGGTAAAGATGTTGCCATTATGACTGCAATGGAAATCACACACCTGTGTCTGTCGCTCCCTGCCCGTCAGTTTGTGAGAGGTAGAGCCTCAAACACTTGTTACTGCACAATATGTTGATCAGATGTTGGCTTGTATTTCAAATTAAACTGTATTATAAAGTTAATTTAAAAATCATTTTTGTCATGTTGGTCATTTGTGTTAGAGTTTTTATTCATTTTGTAATTGGGTTTATAATTTGTAATTTGCAGTTTTGTAATTTGGGTTTATAGACTGCTCTGCCCCCACTCACACCTCATCCTACACCTTTCAGGGAGTCACCACACCCCTTAGACAAACCCTCCCCTCCTCATCAGCAACAACATAATGGACCCCAGCTGCAACACCCTTCGCCTGAGCAAATGTGGCTGAGTGGTTAGAGCAGTTGTCCTCCAATACAAGTTGGGGGTTTGAATCCACCAGCAGTCACATGCCAAAGTGTCCATTGGCAAGACACTGAACCCCTCATTGCCTCTGATGTGTGTCCCATCGGTGTATGAATGTGATAAAGCTCTGATTAGTCTCTTTAGAATGATTTGTTCAATTCGCTTTGTAGAGATGTAGAGTGCTGTATGAATGGGTAAATGAAGCACAGATTGTAGTGTAAAGCGCTTTGATTATCTTGATCAGATAGAAAGGTGATATATAAATGCAATCCATTTACCATTTACCTAACACCCCTCCCCCTCCACCATCAGAGCCTCCAATCACCATCAGTAGAGAGGCTGTGAGGATGGAGCTCAGCCGTTTACATCCAAGCAAGTCTGCAGGTCCAGCTGGATTGAGCCCCAAACTCCTGAAAGGATGTGCGGCTCAGCTGTGTGATGTTTTTTGGCACATTTTTCACCCGAGCCTGAGCATGAGGGTGGTTCCTGCTCTGTGGAAAACAACATGCCTGGTCCCAGTGCCCAAACTCACACAGTGAGTACTGTAGCAATAAGGATGTGAGATGGAGGAAGAAGGTGACACTTTCTCCACTTCCCTCCACTACATTTATTTTATTTATTTAGCTCCTGTTAAAGTGGAGCACCAGCTGGTCAGTTTACTGACCAACAACAACTTAATTAAATTATTCACCCTTTAATGATCAGAATCAGTCACTGAAGTAGAATCTGTTATTTACAGGGAGTTCTTTACCAGAACAAATGAATATTCATCTGAATGAGAGACCAAAGTTGTCTTTGAAGTTTTATTTCAAAAATAATCAAACTAAAATCAACAACAATAATAAACAAACAATAATATTGAATTAATCAAGGCTTAGTTCTCTTATCTAAGACTAAATTGACTCTTTGAACAGGAATTATTTCAGTTTTATGCGTGCATGAATTTAGACAAAGTTTGACTATTTTAATAAAGTTTACTTTGGATTTTGGTTGAAAGAAGTTATTTAATCTGATCAGATAAAGTCGTTTATCGTCACTGCAAACCAGGAAATGATTTACCAACTTGCTTCAGCTTAAAATAGCCTAACCAGACCAAGAGTTGCATCATGTCACTAGCCAACATTTTCAATCAGGCCATCTGGACAGTTTCTTCTTTTTTTTTTGTGCTGAAACGTTTCACCTTCGATCTGGAAGGCTTCATCAGTCAAGGAAATACAAAACAAAACGGATTCTTCACCCAACAGCTTACTCCAAAGTGGAACAAACCAGTTTTCTGTCCAGATGACCTGACTGAAAAATGTTGGATTGTGTAGATGAACATATGCTGTATATATATTCATAAATTAAACGGATTCTTTCATTTTTCTGGACTGTATAATGTCGTGCATTGAATTATTAAAACGTAA